GTACATTTAGCTACAATTTCCCATTTTCCCTATGTATGGTGACCTTATGGGAGACCTCTGGGACACCCTGTATTATAACTTGTATGTAACTCAAAAATGTCTACAACTACTTGAAGACACTTCTCTTAAAGTGTCTTAGTTGAGGTTGAGATGCCAATGAGGGAATCCAGCATCAGTTATTCTAAATGATTTCTTTGAAAGATCTTTAAAATAGTTGTCCTACAGTCACTTTTCACCGTGTGAGGTGGAATCCGACCATGCTACTTTTTCTGCAGTTTCTCCCTCCTCCCACTCACCTGCTCCAGTTTCTCTGGCCATGGAGCCAGCCATTCAGCCTCCTTCCTGCCTGCCCTGCAGCCCCCTAGGTAGCTCCTGGCAGTGCACTCCTGTGGATTTCACAGTAGGACCACACAGGCCTGCAGACCCCTATTGGCTGCTTCTGGCAGTGCACACCTGTGGATTTCACAGTAGGAACACCAGGCCTGCAGGCCCCTAGAAGCTCCTCCTAGATGTGCACTCCTGTGGATTTCACAGTGGGACCACCTAGGCCTTTAGGCCCCTAGTAGCTGCTCCTGGCTGTGCAGTCCTGTGGATTTCACAGTGGGACCACCTAGGCCTGCAGGCCCCTAGTAGCTGCTCCTGGCTGTGCAGTCCTGTGGATTTCACAGTGGGACCACCTAGGCCTATAGGCCCCTAGTAGCTGCTCCTGGCTGTGCAGTCTTATGGATTTCACAGTGGGACCACCCAGGAGCCTGACTACTCTTGTGTTTGTCTCTGAGTCCTAGATTATGCCTCACTCTCTCCCCAGAGTACAACTATCCTCTTCCTATATTCTCTCAAAGATAGTTCATTCCCCCTCATTTTGTTTCCTTAGTATGTTAACCGCTATTGTGCTGCCATAATGGTTTATGTTATTTTTACACATTTGTCTCCATCATTAAACGTAGGCTCTCAATCCTCACACACCCATAGCAGCTCATTGTGTGAATCACTGCATGATAAATGCTTTGTAAGTAACAAGAACAAATATCCAAAGATGTTGGCACTATAATATGTTTTCAGATTTGAGTAGAGGACCCTTTCATAGAGCTTCAATGCTTGGGTAACATTAACAAAAGGCATTAAATTAAGTTTTAAAAGAGTTAAAAGTAAAGTTTTGCCAAGAGAATAGGAAATCTCACATGAAGGTCATTTTAAGGTCCTATTGCAACAGGAAATTTATGAAAAGAAAAGAAATCAACATTTTCTGGCTAGTAATGGCATTGATTAACATTTTATATTAGAAAGGAAAGTAAAGGCCAATTTAATAAACCGTAAAATTGGCAAAGTTTCTGGAAATGCTGCAGTATTTAGTTATAATTTTTGTGCCAATGTTATCAATTCATAAAGCTAACATAGATGTTGAAATATCTGCAGTAAAAAGAAAGGGCATACTAAAACTTTTGCAGCAGTAGCTGCCATTAAACTTAGGTTTAAGTCCAAAATTCATAGCCTGGTTGGAGGCTCGGTGTCCTTCCCCATCTCCCCATGCTCCCTGGATTTCTGGACTCTCCCACTTGTTCTTGCTTTGCCCTCAGTGGATCTGTCCCCCTCTCTGAAAGGATACCATTCCCCTCTGTGTGTAGTATCCATCCACTACTCATCCTCCCATCACTGTGGAAGGTTACTTCCTGAAGAACATTGTTTTGGCTTCCTAGTCTGTTTTGGTGCAATATCACATTATTCTTTTTTTAAATGGCATTGGTCATAGTTTGTACTGACATATTTTCTTGTGTGGTTATTATTTGTTGCTGTCTTCCCTAGACATTGTGAGTTCCAAATCGCAAAACAAAACATTGAAACTTGTTTATCACTGTGTTATATTCCCCAAAACGTTGTGCATCCGTTTTCTTCCCCCTTCAGACAGAATAGGAAAATCAGTACCTACAAAGACAGTTTACAGCCCTCTGAGTGTCCTGAGCATTGGTGTGACAGCGTCAGAGCTGAATTCTACAACATGGAGGCAACCGCCTTTCCTGAGCTGCCTCTCAGCAATCATAAGAATCACATTTAGGAAAGAGGAAAGTAGTCATTATTTCTAAAACTTGCCAAAGCAGAGAATTCCTTCTAACATTTGGCAGTTTATATACGTACTTATAAAAAATGGCTAAAGATATCGATGATTAACCTTTTGAGAATTTGTAGTGCCCTGCATATATGGAGTCATCAGCGGCTTAATGATGGGGTATTTTTTGTTAAATGCTGCCCTGGTTGCTTATTCCATTGTTTTTGTTTTTGTTTTCTTGAGACAGAGTCTTATTTTGCCACCCTCAACAGAATGCCATGGCATCACAGCTCATGGCAACCTCAGACTTGCGGGTTAAATTGATACTCTTGTCTTAGCCTCCCAAGTTTCTGAGACTACAGGTACCTGTCACACCTCCCAGCTATTTTTTAGGGATGGAGATCTCACTCTTGCTCAGGATGGTCTCAAACTCCTGAGCTCAAGCGATCCACCTGCCTCAGCCTCCCAGAGGGCTGGGATTATAAGCATGAGCCACTGCGCCCTGACGTGATTCCGTCATGTGTGAACATCATCATGTTGACATACACACATAGATCGCAGAGCCTACTGCATGCCTGCGTTGTGTGGCTCAGCCTGTTGTTCCCAGGCTACAGCCCTGAACCTATTCCTGTGCTGTGAGCAGTAGGCTTCTAACTGTAGAGCAACAATATGTATTTGTGGACATAAACATGCCTGACATAAAGGCACAGTAAACACACAGTGTGAAAGAAAAACAGCACACCCTGCACAGAGCACTCACCGTGAACGGAGCTTGAGTTCTGGGAGTTGCTCTGGGTCAGCCAGTGAGTGAGTGTGGAGTGAGCAGGAGGCCCGTGGGCACTGTAGTGCATTGCTGCAGACATTCCCAACACTGAGCACAAAAGTATTTTATTTCAAAAACATTTTTCTTTCTTCAATAATAAAGTAATATCAGCTTACTGTAAACTTTTCCTTTGTAAACTTTTCCCTTTTTTTAACTTTTTGACACATTCATAATAATAGTAGATTAAAACACAGATGCATTACATAGCTATACACAAATTTTTCTTTTTTCCTTTTTT